ACAGAACCATAAGAACCAGATGGGATTTAATCAAACCGCAAGAAGATAAAGTGAATGAATTTAATTGCAATTTATCGTCAAATAGAAATATCATGAATGGTTACAAAGTTTGGTATAAAACCTTCAAGGATAATATATAGGACAAAGGCACGATAAAACGTAAATATGGGGAATTTAATATTTAAAGTGGATACAGGAGACAAAATTATTAGAAGACATTTAGACTAAATTAAAAAAAGGTCTACGAGTAGCACACCTCTTGATGAAACGACACATTTGAAAACAAATACTGAAAATGCAATACCTTTTACTTTAAGTTTTAGAAGAAATGATGATCAAAATTTAGGAGTACAAGAACAGAGTCTTGTTAGTCAAAGACCAAGTAGGAATATAATTTTGCCCAAAAAATTCGATAATTTTATAATGAAATAAAGACTAAAAATATATAATATATATAATAAAATATTTTTCTTTTAAATATATTTTGCAAAAGTTAATGAAATATACTAATGATGACAATGAAACTATCAAGAAACGTTGACTGCACGATAAGATTCACATGGAAGAAAAACCTGAGTTGAGATCATTTTTTAAAGGGTGGAATGTTGATATGACCGATTAATACTAACCTTTAAATTGTTTTTTTTTATGTTTATATAAATTGACTTTTTTTTATAAATTGTGAAGATTGATTTTTTTTTATATAAATTATTTTATTAATGTAATATGCAGGCGCGTACGCAAGAATTTGGTCTGGGGGATGGGGGGGGGGGGGGGGGGGGTAATAAAAATTAGAAATATTATTGTTTTTTTAAATTAATCAAGCATAAATTTATTAGGACTAATAACTATTTCTAATACACAATTTTAAATTTATGTGAATTATAAAAAAATTATATGTAAAGAATCACTTAAATGACCCAAAATAAAAATATGAATTTTTTGAGCCTTTACACAAAATTGTTTCTTAGGAATAATTGCATTTTGTATGTTATATATTTACAATGTAAAACCCAATCTTCGTTGTGATTGAGCTAATTTTTCAATTATCTCATCCTTGCTTGTTGTCAAATGCCTATGAATATTCAAAAGATCCAAACCTTTCAATCTACTTTCAGATGTTGTACTTCTTGGTATGTTTTTCAGAGACCTGCAGGCTCGGCCCCAGGGCTGGAGAGTATTTAAATTTTTTTAAATATACCCGGGCTGGGCCCAAAATTTTTTAAAAAAACACCCAAGCCGGGCCTGGGCTTTATTTTTTAAAACAGCCTATATTTGAAAAATCGTTATTATTAGCTATAAAAATCAAAAATAAATATAATTTATTTTAAAATCCGGGCCGGCCTGAAAATTTTATTTTAAAAAAAGCCGGGCCGGGCCTTAAAATTTTTTTTAAAAAACCCAAGCCGGGCCCTAAAAAATCTTTAAAAAAAATCCGAGCCGTGCCCTGCAAATGGTACTTCTGCAAGCCTCTGTTATTCTTCTTAAAAAAGAGTTTATAAATCCCTTTAATACATTGGGAATTTAATCTAAAATGTGTTTGAAATAATGTAGAGCATCCATAGCATTTTTTGGGACTATATCAACCATAGTTAATCTTATAAACATAGTTATTTAGCTAGTAAGGCATCATAAGATACTTTAACATCTTCATAATAAAAATCTAACAAATATTTTTTTTTTTATCACCATCTGAAAAAGGTTAAGGCTTTTGGGGAAGTAATATTTGCAGATTAGTATGTGCTGCATGATGAATTAAAAATTCATTTATTTGGGTTATAAATGTGTTAAACAGTATTAACTTTAAAAAAAAATTTTTTTTTTACATCCTTAAGCCATGCCATTTATGGCGTAACTTAAAATATTTCAAATGTAATAAGAATTGTTTCTTTCTTTTTGTTAAAAACAACTTTTATATTTTAAATCAATTTGTTTATAAACTAATATTAAATTTTATATTTTATAAATCAGTTTCTTTCTTTTTTGTTAAAAACAACTTTTATATTTTAAATCAATTTGTTTATAAACTAATATTAAATTTTATATTTTATAAATCAATTTACTTAAGAAACTAATGTTCAATTTTTTATTTTTAACTTTTTAAAAAAGATCAATTTATTATAAATTACATTAAATTAAATTGTCAATTAGGAAACTATTTTGAATATGTGATCATTATATTTTTTTAATTTAAATATCAATAAATTTACGTAATATATGTATATAACATTTATTTTCTGCCTTTGATTTCTGCAACCTTTTCATATCTGTATTTAAGATATACTCTTCTACTGATCCTAAATGTTTTAACGATGAGCTTGCCTTGCTACAGTCGAGGGAGACAAATATTAAACACGCATAGCTCTGCTTTTGAATCAACAATAAAATATGAAATGAAATTCTTCATCAACATTAGCCCTAATTTCCTTGAGTTCTGATAAAATGCTCTCCGCTATTCTCATCTTCTTAATCAAGTCAATGTCATGCTTATGAAGAGTAATACTTAAAATAGTTGTATAATTAAATAATATATTCTAATGAGAAATAAAATTTGGAATAAGCATTGAATCCAATAATTTTCTTGCTTCTGAGGAAATATTTCTTTCAGGCCATTGTGATAATTCAGTAATAGCAAATAATTGGCTCTTCTAACTCCTTAAAAGCTGTTACTGCTTGATGGCGGAGACTTTATCTAGTTGGACAAGGTTGCAATTTCTTTTTCCCTGTTGTACAAGAAGTTTCAGAAATAATTATTATTTGACTAGAAATTTGAAAATGGTAGATAAATATTACGCCACTAAAAATTTGACAGTAATAAGTAAATATTACGCCGGAAAACTTGAAATCGAAATTAATTGATAAAATAACTTAGTATATAAATGTGATAATAAATGTAATTAAATATATATTTATTATGAGATACGAATAAATATTAACAAATATAAATTAATATAATATAAACAATAATATTTTTGAAAAATATATCCGGCATCTCCATTTTTTGGCTTGGGTGGGGGAGATTTCCCCCCCCCTTCCGCTGCGTACGCCAATTTTAATATGTAAATTGTTATATAAGCATGATATTTTAGTATGTAAAAATTTTAAAATAAATTAAATTAAACTCGTAACTTTGATTTATTCTAAATTAAATAAAATTGAACTCGTAACATTCAAATATTTTTAGAAAACTTTATGATGTCAGCGGAGTTAAAGGTTAGTATTAATCGGTCATATTAACAGATTCAAATATAAAATATATGTAATTAAGAAAAATTATAACTATATTACAAATGATGTTATGATGATTCTTGTGCAGTGTATAACTTATAAAAAAATAAAACATTATTATAAGTTTGGTTGAGATATATTTTCAGATGCCAAAAATTTTTAAGGTTAATTGTTTCAGTAATTTAGTATATAGTCATGTCCTAATAAAACCAAGTTACCTTTTTTTGCATCACAACTCGAACGGCTTTCTCATTTTATAATTTACTTTAATGGTAAAAATAATTTGACTCTGCACTCGATGTGGAAGATCTAAGCTGATAGTAGAGAATATCTGAAAATAATTTGGAAATACATTTCTATATGTAGAAATTTAAAAAAATCTGATGTAAGAATCTTTATAATTTCTAAACTTTTATTAAAGAATTTTTTAATAACCTCAATTAAATTTACTAATCCCTCTTCAGTAATATTGTTTTTCCAATAAATTTTATTTAAAATTTTTCTTTCAAATTGTTAATTAGTTCATTGGAAATAATTGGAAAAATGTTTTAGTCTTAGGATCCTTTTCTTCTATGTATTCAGCAATTATTTTGTTTTTTAAGGCCCATTTTTTCAAGGACCCTCTTCTAATTGGTAAAACCCGTTTTGGTATAAGTTGATTCATCATATTTTGATAGATTCTACAAAGCGAAAACTGCATCAGCTTTGATTAATTATTTAACGCAATCTTATTTATAAAGCTTTTTAATTAACAATAGCAGAATTTTGAGCGATCTTGGTCTATTTGGTAATACCTGATTTAAATCAGATGGTTTTAAAAATATTTTAAATAACAGTGATTATAATCACTCCTTTTTGTTTTTGGAAGCTCAGGCTCATTTTTCATATTCAGAATCTAGGCATAGGCACCTTGGTAATATTTACATTCATTCACCAAATTAACTATTTACACTGTCTCCTTGTTCCTTATTAGAATTGGGGTGCGATTGGATTATTAGGCATTTCAGCAGGCATGAATGAATACAATCTTTTTAAAGCGATGGTGATTTGTACAGCAGTTAATCCTCTACTATTACATATTTTAAAAAAATTATCTAAAACATATAAAAGGATTTTTCAGGAACCATTTTTTTAAAATTTTTTATGGGGAGTGGGGATGATGTGATTGAATATTAATTTTTATTATGATAATCTGTAATTTTATTGAATTATAATTTGCATATAACAATCGAGCGATCATTATTATATTAAATTGAATGTTTTTTATCAAGAATATTTAAAAATAAATGATTTCTTTAAATTACACCTTATAAAAAATAAATTAAACTAAATAGTTTTTTTAAAAAATATTATTATAATATAGTGTTTTTTTTTATAGAAATGCATGTTTTTTATTATTTTCATTTCATCTGGAAATATGTTTTTTAATATAAAATATTGTATTGTATAAAATATGGGAATCCGGTTTAAGAATAAAATTTGACTATGCCATTTAGAGGGAAATATTTACCTCTCCATAATCTAAGGAGATTAAAATAATATTTTATTTTTCAGAAGAACTTGATCCCTCCAACATAATTATAATATTTTCATTTTTTAGAGTCCATGAGTTATTTAAATCAAGGTAAAAATAAAATTTTTTAAATATACTGGTTTGTTACAAGCACAAATCAAATATGTTATTTTAATATATTATACATCTGATCAGAATTTAATAATAACATTTACACTTAAATTAATTTTATGTTTTTAAATGGCAAAATTTTTATCTTACTTTCCTCGCGAAATATATAAAGATCAGTTCAACTCATTTGAATATGATAGAACAAGGTATGAAACAATTTATATAAATATATTGGTTTAATCAGTAGTAAGAATCATGTTAAGTATATAATTACATTTTGTTTTTTTATATTAAAATTTTTAATTTATTATAAAAATTATCTAAGTATATTTGAAAATTATATCAATTTCATATTAAGATGTATATATTTTTATATTATAGAAAAATATGGTGTCTTAGGATATTTAATTAATTTTATATATAAACATAGATATATATATATTGGAAAGGTTTTTTTAATATCATGTTTCATATCTAAGATATCCATAAATGAAAATTTATTAACATTGTTATTTAAACTCAAACCCTTTTTTTTATGTTTTAATTTAAATAAACATTGCTGTTGGGAAGGGAGGGAGTGGGGGTTAATAAATAAAATTTAAATTTATTACTTAGAACAAAAATGACAATTGTGCCTTTTTAAAAATAATAATCTTTATACACCCTATAATTAAAAATTCTAACTTTAAAGTGCCCACAAATATAACTCATTGGCACTTCTGAATTAAAACATGTTATTGAAATTGATTTTTAAAATTTATGATAATTTATACATTTTCTTAAACATGTTCTTAGATTATTTATCTATAAAAGGTTTTTTTTATAGATATTTTGATAATTATTAGTTTGTTTACCTTTATTAATAAGTTCTAACATATAAAATATTATATACAGTAAAAAAATAATAAAAACTTACTGCTTTAATATAAACTATTTTATTCTAAAAAAATTTACGGCTTCATAGCAAATCCTTGTATCTAAATTTTTTTTTCTTCAATTATTTATGTATTATTGAGTTTATTGGGATTTAGAATTTTTCTATCATACTAGAGGTTAGCCCTAACTTGAGCCTGACAAATTTTTTAGGATGGGCTGGATAACTTGTTCACAAAATTTTTACAAGCCATGCCAGGCTATGCCAATCTCTCTATCTCGTACCAAAAGCTTATTTAAACAATAAAAATCTATTTTTAATTATTGATATGATTAAATTCTATTGAGTCATTCTATGACAAATTAATCACCATTCCTTAATAACTTGGAATTTAAGGACAATTTTATATCTAAACAAAAGAAGATGTCTAAAGAGTTTTCAAATTTTATTATCTTAGCCAGTGTTGTATTGCTTAAAAATTTGACAGGAGGATTTATATATATATTACCAAAATATATGTATAAAATAAAAAATAATTATTTAATCACTAAATAAATTTTTTATTTATATAATATTTTTTAAATAACATAACAAATTTAATATCACCAATATCTATTCAAATTAAAAAATATCTAATAAGAATTTTAAAAAATAGACAAATCTTTCATTTCTTTACCTCTTTGGGCTGTATTTTTCTTTAATAAGATTTCATTTTCCATATTTTTATAAATGGATCTGGAATCCATTCTGATATAGAAGGTCCATTATATATTTATGAATATTAAATTTGACTAATTATATACTTGTAAACTTGTTCTTTATTTGCCATAATCATCATAAGATGTAGCCCTGTTATCTACTTATCACATTTACATGAGAGGAGGGTGGGTGATAGGAACGATTTGTCTTCATTTTTTAAATGGAATAGGCATTCCAAGAATAGGGTAAAATAAAAATAAACGCTATTTGTAGACAAAAAAATGTGAATTATTTTTAAATGACATATATAAGAACTACAAAATAAAATTTAAAATCCATATAAAAATATATTTAAATTAAAAAATATCCTATAAAAACTTATAGAACTATAGGTTGATAAAAAATTTGATATGTAAATTTCTAAGCCTAACTAATAAATAAATTAAATTTAATAATAAATATTCTCATTCATTCACAGACATTTTAATGCAGTTTGAAGTTATACACACTCGTAGAAGATGGTTAGTAACATCTAATTGAATATTACCAATTAATGATTATTTGTTATACCTGGTATAAATAATAAGGCCTGGAAGAGTTTAATTAGAATTGTTTTGGATTATAAATGGTGGCTCATTATTTTTAATATTATAAAGTTGTTAGACCATAATAGATAGATAGGTATGGTGGCCATAGGGCAATTTTTTAGGAGGATAGTGGTAGATTTTGGAGGGGGTTTGTCTGCAATGAATTTTCTGTCATGTTGACTTTGCTTATATATTATTTTATTAATGTCAACATGTTTTAATAATTTTTTTTTGAATATGAGTCAATCAATAAAAAATAGTTAGTTGGCATATGGACATCAAAGAAACCAAAAAAAATATCCTAATTTATTATTTTTTTCCTAGTAAGTTGAATTATCCTAACATCAAATTGTTTTTTAATTAAATGATTTTGTTAAAATTGGACTAATTCTCTCCTATTGAGTTGTTGAATCAGCTAACTCATAATTGTTGACAAAATTCACTAAGCATAGAGGCAAGATTATATTTCCAAGATTGAGCTATCCTGTAAGTTTAAACCTCAATGCTAAGATGATAGTTTTTGCTTAAAAATTTGATTTAACATTTTAGAGTTGGCTAAAAACCTGTTAAAAATAAAGCTATTTATCGCCTATTGGTCATGAACCTCTCTATATTTTAAATAAAGCAGAAACTGCAACGACATAAAAATATTTGACTATAAAATTTTTAAGTATTTATAATAATAATAAGAAAGGGGATTCAAATTTACACCTTTGAAAAAAATATTAAAACTTTTTGGCACAAGAACTTGGCCTCTTAAAATTTAAAAAGGGGTTAAAAATTAAAGTAATTAGCGAGAGGAATTAGTCCCAGCCCCCTCTCAAAGCACTCCTGATCATAGCGCTTAAATTTTTAAAGATATCTTTAGAAAAAAGTATGCAAAATTTTAAACTTTAAATTTTTAAAAAAAAAAGTTTTAAGGTTGGAAGTTTTGAAAAATATATTTGATTACAGTAATTTTATGTTTTTAATTATGTTCTTACTTAAAAATTAAAATATTGCATAAATATGTGATGTAGATAGAATCTTTACTATAATAAGAATATCATAATGCTTAAAAAAAAATTCTTAGTTTTCAGTTTTTTAATTTTTACTACAGATATAGGTTGGAAAATTTTATTAAAATTTTAACTTTCAATATAACTAATTATTTGTAAAATATAAATAGTTCTGGTCTATATTTATAAAATAATACCTTTTTTGTCCATTTTACCAGATGTATGGTCTGGGATTGCATGTCTGACAAATAACACTTAAAAAAAATTTTTTCTCCTAAACAATTTTCAATAATCAAAATTGAGGGTTTCAAATAAATGATGATTTTAATTATAAATATTATTATTATTATCAATTACATTCAAAAGAATCAAAAAGTTTAAGATGTTCTGATGTAATTTTTTTAAAAATTTAAGTTATGTAAAGGCATTCTGTTCTGATATATTTTAATATAATTAAAAGTTTTCAATTTTAAGCTTTCAATCAATATTTTGTTAAAAGGATAAATAATAAAATATTAATAAAGGTCATTTAAACTTTGGTGGAAAATTATTTTATTTTCCATAATTTTTAGAAACAATATATAAATTAATATTATTGACTTGTAAAATGTTAGGCTTTATATAAATTATATTTTTTTTAAAAAATTAACCATAAAAATTATTATAATAATAAGTCATGACTGGTTTAACTAATTATATAAAACTCAGATAGTTGGAAACACATCTAATTTAAAGGTATTCTTCATATTTTTTTAAAAATTTTATTGTATAATAGAATTTTTTTATCAGGTGGCCTCTTTATGGAAAGGTAATTTGCTTAAATGATAAGAGTCAGAAAAATGATGGGGTTATAAAATTATCCATTATCCCTATGATTAAAATTGAAATATACATATAGTAGTTATAAGAAATCATTAGTATATATGACAAAAAAAAACTATGAATATAATTTTAAAATAAACAAGAGATAACAAAGTGAATAAGTAATTATCTATTTATTTATTTATTTTATTATAATAAAAATTTGTATAATTTTAAATATAAAAAATTGTCATATTTTATTTTTTTTATTTCACCTATTATAAAATTATAACAATGTAAGATAGAGTATGTAAATATATAATATCAATTAATAAAAAAAAATAGGTCGTGGATTGTAAATTATTTATTTTATTTTCACCTTATTAAAAATATAATAATATTACCTCTAAAACCTGCTTAAATTTATTCAACTTACTCGTTGAGATGCCCAATTTGATAAAATTCAGGCGGCCGCGTTAACCTATTATTCTCATTTGAAATCACGTTTTTTATCGTTCAAAGCCTAAAATTTCTGGACACTGATTTCACTATTGTATTTTTAGTGCATTAAAATTTATATCATTTTTTTTAAATATATTAAGTTAACGAACTCTCCAGTTTGTCTCTATAATTATTATATTTTAAAATTTAATAATTGATTTGAAAATTGTCTTGTCTTTTGGGTGGCTATTCAATCAATTAAAAACCTTATTTCTGCCCTACTCCTTACTACCTAGTTTTTAATCATTAAAAAAAATTATTTGTAGTTTTCATTAAAAGATTAATATTATTTTTTTTGTTTTATAATATTTTTTTGTTATTTTAATTTTTTTAAAAATATAAAAAAATTTAACTATATGTCTTTTTAAATATATAAATAAATAATGTCAAGGCCTCAATTTTTATTTTATTTTTATCCTTCTGGTTCGGATTTTCTTTGTTTAAAAAAAAGATAATAAAACAGGCTACGCGCACATACTATATTTTGTTTGGTATTGGATATTTACCCATTTTAACAAAATAGTATTTATCGACATTTATTAAAGTTCATTTCATTATTTTTGGTCGGTTGAGTATTATTTGTATTCTATTTTCACTTTTTTTGGCAAAATGCATTTTTTTGATAAATCAATTCTTCACTACTGTATTTATCCATATCAACAATGAAAATGTTACAATATAATTTAGAATAACCCTTTAGTTTGCATTATTATAGCGTGATCTCCTATTTTAAAATACAATAAATA